TTGTGTTTCATCAACCACCTGAGTTTCTTGATGTACGCATAGTCAACCACTCCAGCGGCGCATATAAGCGCTTCAGAGGCAATAGCAACGGACACTCGCTCCATCATCTCTCCACGAGGATCGCTGAATCCACGACAATACAGTTCCACTTTGCCAGGTCCATTTTGACGCAAAATAAAGCAGAAACTCAATTCTCCCCGAAGAATACCCAATTCCGACAATTTTGGAACACCACGTATTGCCACAGAATTTCAGGAGAGCACAAATTGGATTAATATTTTTCGATTAAAGTGGGAGATTGGGTTGGTTTTGAAAACAACTTGCTCGACTTTGATATTACGTTCCGTCCGAGTGACGTCGCTAGGAATGGAGAACTATTACGGAAACTACCGAGCATGGGACCAAATACTGCGGTCTCAATGATTCGTGTGTTATGATGGAGACCATTTTGGTTATTACGATCGCAATGACCTCTACCGCGCTGGGTCTAGTGGCCGCCATTTCGTCGGCTGTTTCGCTCTCACCCTGAATCAGTTTTACTGATTATATAGATAGTATAGACCACGGGAGGTGGATTCATGAAAGCTTTACACTCAGACGAAGATCATCTCTACTGTCACTCATAATTTCACATCATACCACGGTTATTCGACTAGAACCAACCGCTACCCTGTCTGGATACAGAAGATCAGTTACATCAATGTAAACTCGTATGAAGATCAAGGACTTCGGCGCACAAGTTTAAAGAAACAGTATCTCGACTCACCATTCTTCAGACAATTTCGGAATATGAGCTACAGATGCAAACGCTGCACCTGCGTTGAAGTGTTGTTACTCACGGGATACTCATTTTATGCGATCAAATCTGCTAGGCTTCGTCCGTCGTATTATTACTGCTAGCTGGCCTGCTGTCTCGAAAGCTATTAAAAAAATTCAACGTGCTGCTTATCCGCTGGTACGTAGATCCTGACAAAGGACTGTCTCCTATGCACAGTCCCGTACATGACAAAATAAATATCAGAAAAACACTTGGCTAGAAGAAGCTACGCATGTAGCTAAACATTTTAAAGTGAGATGCGATTGTGATAATCACATTGGTCTGGAGTGTGAAGGAGTTCTAATGCAACAGCTAACAGCATTTCGAGCTGCCGTTCGCTGCGCGGCACTGCGTAGTAGAACAATTATTGTGTAGTGGAGCGATAGAACGAAGAGAACAGTTGAGCTATATGAGGTGAGTGGGAAAGAGGAACACTTACCAGCACGTACCTTTGGAGGAAAGTGCTCAACAATAACAACTTTGAACGTTAACTGGTGGCCAACGAGCCAATCATCAACCCATTTGAGCACCGTCAGAAAACTTGAGTTCGTATCGCACGGATATTCATCCGGAAATTCTCACAACAACCGATATGAAGACCTTGCTGATACTATGAGTTTTCGTCTGAGAACCTGTTGGCTTCTACAGTACTGCACCCCGTTTTCGCGCCTTCGGACCTTTAATAAGA